CGAACATGCAAAGATGAGCGCTACCGACATCCATGTCAGCGAAGGTGCTTTGAGGTACAGAAACATGTAGTTGAACAGTTACATTGAAAACTTATGTTGATGCCCATGACAGTCCTGAATCTTTATTAATTTTTGGCATGAAAAAAGTGCATTTGACGATGAACTTATCCTTTTTGGAGTTTGCCACGCATTCGGTTTTCCGCGTACTGGTGGATACAATGCCTTGTGATCACGCTGTTTTAGGCCGATGTCAGGCTTTCCAAATCGAGAGTCTGCGGTCGCGCCGCGTACAGCGAATGGCTTGATTCGCTGTACGCGACCGTGGACGCTGGCGAGTCGCTCGATTTCCAGTCTGACATCGGCATAAAGAGCACAGTTTTTCTACTACTATCCGAGTGCACGAATTGATTAGCTTTGGGAATGTGTAAGTGAATCGTCTTTTCTGATATGAAAGTGGTATTTTCTTTCCATGAGCACCTTCACTGAGGGGTAACTTCAAATTCAGTTGTGCTAAAACTGTTCGTGATGAAAATCAGTTTTGCTTCCGGCAAGAAAGTTCAAGAGCACATTGGTATACTTCCTCAAACATTCTAATGTTGTAATGACGCACCTGTGTTGAATTTGTTGAATTCTTCAGCCATGTGGTGACTGCGCTCACGTGGTAAAAATTCGTCTGAAGTGTGGGCATTCTACAAATGTGCTGTGCTACGCCTCGGACAATGCTGTTTGTCATGAACGGTAGGCTTCGTCGTTACTTGAGAGAATGCTTGGTGGTGTCTGAATGTCCGAGCCTCCTCTGTTATTCGCTCTGGTTTTTGGTTTCTTCTCCTTCGGCTCTGGAAACCCATTAAACAGAGAGTATAATATCCATTTCAGATGCAAGAAAATGCTCAGCTGTGGACACCAGTGTCCTTCCACCTGTGGTAAACCTTGCGATATGATTTGTCTAGAGGTAAGTATTGTCATACTAGCAAGTTTAGCTACGCAGACTTCTGTGGGTCACATTGAAAAAGCAGCCGGAATCTGTTCTCCAGCCCTATCCACTTTGGCGTAGCTTTATGAGCTTTGACAGCTTATGGGTGGTCTCGGAACCAAATTACAATTTCTTGATGCCCCATACCCCAGCTATCCCAAATATGATACCGTAGAGAGACAGACAGAAATAGCGCATTGCAAGTATGTTATGGGTTATTTTATATGGTGTCTGGTCTGAACTTGTGTTTATTTATTTGAATGCTCTCCTATTAAGCCTGTAAAGCTTCGTATAATATTTGTGCGGTCTTCGTGAGATCGGTGGTCTGCAGTGAGGCGAGCAAGTCTACTAGTTGTCCAATGCGTTGCCCGGAAATCCTCTCATGTGGCCACGGTTGTGCAGAACGATGCGGACAGCCGTGCACAAGTTAAATGTAACAAGGCATGTTATAGTTTTTATAACACTAGTTTGAAAAAGCTTCCGGGTACAGAGTTTGGGGTAGGCGTAAGCATAACGGATTTTTCTACAAAAAATGATTTAGTTGGTGCGACGTCGTCTGGATTGTGGCCACAATATCAACGTTCCATGTCATGAAGGCGAGGTGGAAAAGCAGTGCGAAGTAGGTTCTCCATTTTGATTAGTAGAATACTATGAAGTGAATATGATCATATTACATCGAACATGATTAATATCCATTGATTTGCACGCCTGTTCTTCTCGAAGTTCTTTCGGGTGGTTGCCCACGATGAACTTGAATATCGAAGAAGGGAAGTTTACCTAGTGGAAAGGACTTACCTAGTGGAAAGGCAGGCGATCTCTTAAGAGCGTGGACGGACTCGCAATGTGTAGTAAAGGATAACTCAGGAGGGGTCCCATTTCTCGCGTTCTGGACCGTTAAGGTTTCTCTTAATCCTGTTACCCCTGGTCACCCCTACCTTAGTTTTGATAGACAGGCTTCATCGTGCACTCTCTTTGTGGAACCATACGGTCGAGAGAGCGCAGATATATCGTTGGGTAGTCCTCTCGTCCGCTAGCAAAAGAAGCGGCGGTATTCCCATGGCCCTAGTACCTGCGTAGAGACATTTGGTGAGCAATGAGTGCAGCAGACGTCCTTTTTCGGGAATTGGGTCTGTCTGTACGACGGGATGACTGATTAGGCCTAGATCTTGTGGATATATTCTCAATTATTATTAAATCTACACCTTTTGCCTTCACCTTTTTCTTTAACACTATTTGTCTTCAAACATCCCTCCATTTTTGCAAATCGGCCTTCCCTAACGTTCGTCTTGCTGCTCTAATCCATGGTTGGCCATGTAGCTACATCACCATGGGGTTGAACCATCTCTTCTTCAGTCAAAGCAGGCGTTTGTATCCTGGCGGATACCCCTCGGTTAGCCTTAATGTCCATCTGTTATGCATAATACACCTTACTACGTGCTCAGCCCCTAATTGCTTCTTTTGATTAAGACAGCTTAACATCACATTTCCCTTTTCCTTGCAATTTTCCCTGACTTTATAATCAATACAAAAAATAGTATTAGTGCCATTTGTTCAAATGAGTACTATTTAATGAAACATGACATGAATATGTATAATTATTTCATTATTATGGTTTGTACCTCATTGTGCTGAAGGCACGCATTATTTGGAAGGTGAAAGTTCCACAAGATATGGAGCGTGTGTGGTCATTCTGTTATGATGCCGTGTTACGCTGGCACGAATCCAAGTCATTGTCCTGCTCAGTGTGGCAAGGAACTTCCGTGTGGACACAATTGCCTTCGAAGATGTGGCGAATGTTTTGATGGTAAGCGGTTAGATTGTTCTTTCCTAGAGCATTTTGCCAAAATTATTTTTATTTCTCGTCCTTTTCCATCTTATATTTTCATGCGCACAAATTTATTTTCATTTCTCGGCCTTCTCCATCTCTTGGTTTCCCATTTTGTGCAGTTCTTAGTTTCCCTGTCTATTTGATAATCTCATAATTGCAACTTGTTTCTTTTAGCTGGCGAATGTAAATGCGAAGCAGTCTGTTCGAAGTTGTTGCCGTGTGCCGTCATCACGCTGCACAGAGAAAGTCAGTTTACATTGGTTGTAGAATCAAACGCTGGAGGCTGTCAGAGTACCTGCCAATTATACTCACCTATTCCGACTGTTCAGATGTGGTGTGCCATGCGAGCCTTGTATTTCTCCTTGTCTCACAAGTTGTAAGCATCAGGACTGCGGCAGCAGTGACCGTTATCAAGTGCGTGCTTCTCTGTTTGACTATATTTCTTTTGCGTATTTTTTTTGTTGTTCTGTAGTGCAGGGTGGATAGGTGTATTGATTCCTTAGGTACTGAAATATGGCCGAAAGTGTGCTCGGAAATTGTGTCTGTGCTTTGTCAAAGCTTTGCGACAAACAGTTGTCGCAGCATTCGCACAGTTGTAGTAAGAAGTTAGGTTCATACCAGCGATTAGTTATTGGTCAAACCCTACAATTTGGTTCTCTCCATTGGAAATGGACGAGGAAAGCACACGATCTTTATGAAATGCGATTCTTACTGTCCTAACATATTGTGTGACTAAGGTGCTATTGGAACGTATGCGATGTGCGACTCGCGAGCAATCATGCACTCGATTGCGACTTGTCAAGGGTGGCCACGGCTGTCTAGGAATGTGCGCGGAAGTTTCTGTCCGAGTACAGTACTTCCAATTTCGTGGGATTAGATTTGTTCTCTTTTTTTGGCCTGCAATGCTGTATTTTTGGCGTGCTTTTGCGGTTTTTTATTGGTTCTTTCCAAAATTTTTTTATTTTTTTTTTTCAAGAATGTTGTTTCGCAAGGCGGCGTTACAGTATTTACCCTGATTCGCACAAAGCACAGCTATGCTCGTCGAGTGCAGACTTTTACAACGCAAAAGCCGACCGCTCCATGGTATGTGGTGCTGCTAATGAAATAAATTAGCAGGTTTACAGTTTGTGTTCTATTAATTTGAGACACTATAGCCATTCACTTACAAAACTATCAGCTACTCACTGTGAATCACTAGTTACCAGACTCGCTTGGAGGCCGTCGTCACTTGTGGTGTGTGGTCTGCACCCTGCGCGTATCTCGTTCTAGGAAGCAGATTTATTTTAATATTTATTTTATTTTATTTGATTTATTTATTACTATTAAACTGCAAGGAACTATTATAAAAAAAAGCAAAAAATGTTGCAGACGATTGCCTTTGCCGTTTTGATGCGTTGTTCTGTAGTATTTTGAAACGTAATTATGTTGCAATCATTTGTTAGTGCAAGCTCTTTCCCGTGTCTACCTCTCCTATACTTTCTCACAAGTTCGTCAATCTTTTAGGTCTCTGCGGTACTTGCAACAAACGGGCTTACGTGAAATTGATAGAAGAGTTTTTGGGTGCGAAAGAAAGTTTGACAAAACTGCCAAGAATCATACAAGTTGAGGGTTGCCATCATGTGTTCCCGGTTGAGGTGAGTGCTCACTTCATGCATTCATTTTCTGATCCAAGTTTATCCTTTTCAGCCCTGAATTATGCAGTTAAAGATAGAAATATGTAGTTGCTTCGGTAATGCAGACCATCGAATTGAATAGGTGCAAATTGCCAGTGCCAGGGCCGGAAGGCAAATCATTGGGTTGTGCTAGGTTTCGGTCGGTAGATTCGGCGCATTTCCACTCAACATTCAAGCATAGATGGAGGCGCTGCAATGGGGCTTACCGTCATCCTATCAAATTTGCATCCGTTAATGCTGAATAGCAGGGTTGGAGTAATGGGAAAGGTTTCTCAAGTAGATTTTTGAAATCTGGTTGCTTCCTCTTCCTTTATTAGGTACCGGATATCTTAATGTCGTTTTTCTGAGTTCAGGAAGTTTCGGGGCCGATTACCATGGAAAATCAATTTCTCAGAACGTTCTTTTTGCTTATTAATACTACGTAATATGTTGCTTATTAGTCCCTATTGTTACTTTACAATTTACCTCTCCCCCAATTTTTATACCTTTTTCTGAAAATTCCTGGGTTCATTGCGCAAATTCGTATGTGTGTACCAAATGCCATCAAAGTCGGGCTGGGAGCTACAGATCCGCCAACCAAACTAACATTGCTTTTGTCGAATACTACCGTTTGGAATGCTCACCGGTTCTCCTCAGTTTTCTTAAAAGACAGTGAAGTTTTTGAAAGGATGCCTGCAATCGTCTTCAAAAAGATGGCCCTAGTTAAGCCAGCTGAGAAGGGGCTGCACCAGACTTGTGCTGAAATGGTAGGATACTTTCACTGTGATGGATTGATGATGCGCAAACATTCCTATGAATTTGATTCCGCAAGATATTCTGATAAATGTGCTCACCTGCCTCTCACGCGCGCTCAAAAAGGGTGCGTTTTTGACCCTATGTTGCAAAAAAGTCTCCGTAAAAAACTGCCCACTTGGGCTGATAAGTTCTAATTTCTGTCGTGCTGATCGAGTTCTAATATTTTCTGTCGTGCATGAGACCCTCGCTAACTTAGCTGTTAGCTTACTTTGTCCAGGCCTTACTTTTTAGCAAGTAAGAGGGATGATTTATCAGAGGATGTCAAAACCGACCTGCCTCTCCTTTTTAACTCAAAAAATTCCGAGCTTGGATCGTGCAAGGTTTCCACTCAAACTGTTAGATGAGGGGATCCTAGTAAGTCATTTTATGATTAAACTAATTCGCTCCCCGGGTTTTGAACTGAAATATTGCTGGTCCAAAACTCTTGGTGAAAAAACGACATTAAGATATCCGGTACCTAATATATTCTACTAATGAAGCTTTAATGTCACATACTTTTGGTGTGGTTTTCCATTTTTCTGTGTGTTCGGATTTGAGGCTTTTCCAATACACTTCAGAATTCCGGCGGTATATTCGTGTATCCGTGACTGCCTTCTGTGGCGAAGGTTGCACGGAATCGGAGGGCCTCTTAGCTTTTTGTACAAAGTTCTGCCACACCAGGGAGATGCTGTAGGGTTTTTTGATTTTCAGATTCTCGACAAACACGCGAAAATCGCTCAAAATCAGTCGCTGGTATTGATTTGCCCTCAGTCGTCGTGTAATCAGCCCATAACACGAATCCAGCGATACATGAAGTTGATCAAGAAAAGAAATTTGGAGCGGTACAATGTAAGTAACGGAAGCAGGACTTCTTTTTTTTAAGCTTCGATTGCTTTCAAAAAGTATACGATAGAGTTGTACTTTCACTTGGAGGGTATTGCAAGCTGTTGACTAGTACGATACCTTGGCTAACTAGGGAAAAATTTGCGTTAACTATCCAGAACAAAAGTATGAGCGAAGATTACGGAGCTTCGTGAATACCGTACTGTACAACCACCTTTATTTTAGTATAGCAGTGATTAGATGATTATAACACATTGCGTACCACGTGCGCCACCATGTGGCGCACGATTTGGAGCGGAAAGATCATAGTCCTTATCTGATTTATTTGGCATTTTTCAATGCTCCTTAAGTGCTTGCACTCATTTTCAGAACCAGGAAAGCATAAGTATCATCACTGATAAAATTGTTGATAGATTAATGATGATTCATTTTTTTAAAAACATGAAAAAGGTATGGAGATGCTCGTATAAGGGCGGTCCGCAATGTGTTAACGTGGAAATATGGTGAAGGATGTGATTGCCGCATAATGAATATCACCCGTCTTGCTCTGGGCTGACAGCACAAAGGTGCTCTTTCCAGTGTGTAGATGTGAAAACGCTTTTACGCTACACTTCATTTCATCGGAACTCATCAGCGGACTACAAAACCGATGTCCGTTTTCGCTGAGCGACCCCATGGAGGCCAAAAAGTGGTGAAGAAAAGGTCCAATGTTCAGTTCCCAGTGATAACAAGATTTTTGCATCTTAGCTTGGAGCATCCAGATTTACTTCAGATAGCGCCAGCGCCAACACTAAGTACCATATCCACCGTAGGAACATGAGTAACCCTCACAGTTTTTTTTTGAAATCCGCTAGAAACCAAATTTTTTCGATCCTTTTCTCTCCTTCAGAGCCTACTCGGCGAAATTGGACCTTTGTTTTGCAAAGTTTTGCAGTTTTTTCGTTTCGCAGCCCACTTCCGGCGGCCAGTGCCATGCGATTGCCCTATAAAGAAGGCGCTGCACTTTGAAGCCCAGGGCAGGCTAAGGGGAACCTTAAAGAAAACGTGGAGGACGTTATGAAGGAATTCACCGAGATCAGGGCCACGGCAGATGTCGTGGATAGGAAAAGTGGCGATGTTTGGTAAGAACAGCGGGCCCTGTGAACGCGCGGGATTACGCTGTGGAAAAGTTGTTGCCGTCGTCGTTGTCTAAATCACTTTCATAACCTCTCAGCGGACCTAGTAATAAATGAGCAACCTCGTAGCGCCAAGTACTGATCGTGGCTTCAGAGCCGAAGACAGCATCATAGTCTTCCGGACTATTCTTTTCCAAACTTCATTAAAACCACATCTCCCTATTTAAGTCCTGAGTGCGAGTCTTCCCCAATCTTATTAGATTGTCTGTAATAAGCAGTAGAACGAAAAATTCTGAAGCTACCTTCTATGACACTTTCATGATTTTTCCTTACTTTTTCTTGTTGCTTTGCCTGTCGCTTCCGAAAAAGCGCAGTATTTTCAACGGATCTATGGTCAGGGTGGATTTTGAGTTTCTGTGAATTTTAAAGTATTGAGGAAACAATATTTCAATATCTTAGCAAAGGATTGCAACAGCGATCAGCGTTCCACCGGATAAGGCAAAGAGCTTGATGAGCGGTTACATGGATAGTCTCATTGCTGAGCAGAAGAAAATATTCGGAATTCTCGCCAATCAGAGACTCTCTGTAAGTTTGAGCACCTAATAATTTATAGCTTTATATTTCTTTTAGGATACAAAGCTTTTCAATTTATTTGTTTTAAAACACCATTTTTCACAGCACAAGCAACTTTTCGTTGATGTGAGGAATCTGCTTACTGATGCCCATCGAACCATCGCAGTAGACCGTCTGATGAAACCGGATTCATGCGTTTTCTGGAGGGAATACACTAGGTAAACAGTTTAAGAGTTGGATTTTTCATGCCAGTTTTATTTTTTACGATTGCTTCCCTCAAAATGACATCTCAAAGGCAGCGGTCGCGCTGGGTGAGAGACGGCTATGAGTTGGATACGCAATCAGTGGAATACCATCATCTTCGATGGAAATCCAGCCCGGGGCGGTCTAGTGACACCTTTTCACCAATGACCATGCT